ACTAGCCTTTACAGCTATATCAGCGGTTTAATATATATGTGGCCAAATAGTTGAATGACGATGTATCAGCAATCTGGACCAGACTAGTAAAAGTCAGTGTGCTTCCTTTTCAGTAGGACCATCTACCATATGTAGTAAAGGGTGAAATAATATACTATTGAATATGATATTAATGATAATGTGGCTGTCAGATTTATGTGATAGCTATTGGTTAAGGTTACCAAATGCAGATTGACTAAATGTAAACTTGCCAATTTCAAGGCTCTGTTGCTATCTATATTGTGGAAATTGATATCATTGCTTACATTTAATGCATTAAGAAATAATGTTATCCAGTCCCTTTCTTTGACAAATAGTTCAAACTGTAGTGATTCCATGACTGGGAATAGTCAGTCCCTGGGATGTAAGCCACAGTGCGTTTTGGGAATCGAATTTGGGATGGTTGTTGCAGAAGAAGGATATTAAGTAAGAAAATATAAACATATATATTTATATCTTTATATAGTTATTTTGTTCTTTATGAAATGTGCATTGAAGAAATTAATTATCAACAGAGATGAATTTGAACTGAGCACAGTGTGGCATGAACTGATTGTGTCATCCACTATTGGAGCTGCCTGGCTGGCAGCATTGGCTGCTGGTCCTGCAACAGGTTAGTTTTGAATTTCGATAAAGAGAGATAAAGATTAGAGGCTAAAACAGGATTTAGGTTACCAAAAATCTCACAAATGATCATATATCTAAAAATGCTCATTATCATTATTTACCTCATGCTTTGTAGAGAAGGATGTGTTCCTAATTATGTTTGATAATTTGATATATGGCTTTGTTACTTTTTAGATGTTAGAATATACTTTCCTTATTAATTTTTCACTATTTGAGGCAGTATAAGGGATTGATATGCAAAAGATAAGAAGACTTAATATTTCATATTTTCAGCAGCATAGTGAAAATACCCTTTTTTTTGCAACCATTTTCCATTTTCCTTACTTCATGCACATCATGTTTCTGATGAATTACATTTTATGATGGGTAATTTATTCTTAATAGAATTATCATAAGCAGTAGCTGACACGCACTCTAACTAACCAGGTTCCAACCCATATACTCTATACTGTATCTCTAAATTAGTTCACAGCTATTGCACCCATACCTTCCACATCCTTCTATTCATATTATATTTATTTTTCTAATAGGAATCCAGCCATGATGTGAATCACTTGTAATGAGGAACAAGTAATGGGGCTGTAGTAATTATGTAGTTTTTTATTCATGAACTCCCAATTGCTTTCTGATGGCATACTTTCTGTTTATCAGTAGTGAATATCAGTCACAAGTAAAAAGGGCTGTACACAAAGATAGGGTAATTAGCAATGTAAGAACTGTGGATTGTGGAATTAAAATTTCTTTTTATTAAAATGTTGGTGTCATTACTTTAAAATAGTAATTTAATGTAATTAAATTTGTTCCATCCTAGAGACAACATACAATTACATTGCTATAATCAGTAAAGGCATGAAGATAGGTAATTTTTTTTTAAAAGGATTTTTTTTCTAGACACAGCTTTATGCAGTTATTGATAAATACTCCAATTTGTATTTACATACTTGTAAACTGAATTCCTATTCATAGAATATCATGTGCAAAATAATGAAATGTTGAAAAGATCGTAGATTTTGTCAGTTGCATAATTTGAAGAGTTGGAAATAATTATTTCATGTCCCAATCATTTTTTATTTCATGTATGCATTTTATATGGTTTAGTGAACATTAATGGAAAGAAATATGGTGGCTATTTTTATTATTTAATTTCAGTGTGAATTGACAAAAAACTCGCATTGGCATAAGCCCTTTTGCTGAAAAAGTTTTGAGAGACCAGGTCTTGTTGATATGAGCTCTTGATGACAACAACTAATGTCCACACCCATCAGTACTGACACTGTAGAAATGGGTGTTAAATTCAGAGTAATAGAAAGTGTAAGTTATACCATGAACAGGTTATGCTCCCTAGAGTAGATTTAATTTTGATGTACTATACTTCAGTATTCTGTTGTTTAACCAACTAAAGTAGGATCAACTACTGCTGACCCAACTATATCTGATCTGCCTTTGGTCTGTTGAACAATTGTTAACCCACCTTTTTGCACTGCCTGATAAAGACCTTTCTAATGCTTTAGATTATTTCATTTTTCATTATCAGATGAAACATCTTTTTTGGCCTTGTTATTAATTTACCATGATCATAATTTTCTCATTATTTTTATTCAAACTTTTAGTCCCATAAACTTGGTCCTTAAGCAATATATGCATGCACTTACTGCACCAAGGGAAATTGGCACAACATAGTAAAGATATCATAGCTATAGGCATAGAATTTCAAGGAAAAGAGGATTCATAAATTGATGTATGCTGAGAATAATTTATGTTATTTATTTGTCTTTTATTTGATTATACCCAATCAACCAATACCATTTCAGATATGTCAAAGTGATACTGTTGAAATACAGGAAATTTTTCATATTTTTCTGCTGTATAGAAAAACTTGTAATATTAGGACCCTAAAGATATGTAGCTTGTTCCATCTGTACAGATACCAACATCTGATTTTTTCAAGAGAATCCTTGCATCAGGCTAATCCTGGTCTTACAGCCCAGAGTCATAAAACCCTATCATTGTATATAAAACTCTTAGTTACTTTGAGGTCTGGGATGAGGACTTTTACTGACTGAGTAGGCTTACTTAGCAGGCCCTGAAAACGCTGGATCCTGGGCTTGATCAGGAGATCTCTAAGGACAAGGGCTTCCCACTCAACTAGATGTATTGGGAGCTGCCACAAGTACTCCAGAGACTCAGACAAGATAACACTATTACTGGTATGGTCAAGGTCATTGACCTTACTATAAACAAATGTCACACATTGATTTTGCATGGCAGCGTCTTTGGATGATAGTAGCTAGTCCAAATAAACAGTGAAAACTGTTAGAGGCTCTTTCCTGGATACACAAGAAGTAAACTTGACATTCCTCCACCACCCTTACATATACTTTCGGTACCAGTAGATGGGCATACTATGTATCTTGTAATATTTGTCAGAATTCCTTTGAGTCTCAGGATATCCCAGAGCTGAGTGCCTTTTTAATATAAGTGAAGGTTACAATCTCACAATGGTCATCTACAGTTATGTTATTGGTGATTGCTAAAAGTATAGCAAACCCCTTTTGCCTTTCAGAGGGGTGACCATGCCCTTCAGCAGGAGTCTGGAAGGGTACCAGACTGCTGCATGGCAGCCAGGTTAGCACCTACTCCTGAATTCAGCAGTTTAGAATTGATACTGTATATGCCACTTTTCCTTGGAGATTACCTCCCAAATCTCAGTCAGTATAGAAGAGTCTTTGCTGAGTTGAGCAACCCAACTTGAAAGACCTGCTTGAAAAAGTCATCCCACAACTCTTATACCACCTAAGGACCAGACATAATTTGGGGAATTGATAAGGAAACTGCAAGCACCTGTGAAGATGGTTTGGCATTCAGTTTTTCTTGAGTGGAAAGGAGAAGGTAATTTGGTAAATACTATTCTTCAACCTTAGTAATATTCCAAAGTGTTGTTCCTAGTCCCTCCTATACAATGTCTGAGTCTTATGCATTAGAAAGTAATGTAATTCATAATCTCCAGCTAGCTGAGCTGTATAGAATGCATCTATGGTCTCTGGTCTCTCGAGAGACAAAGTTCACAGGTGCTCACCAAAAGATTTGAGCTGTCTCTGGGCAAATCTCATTTGATAATGTCCCACAGCACTGTTGTGTCCATTAGGCTGTTAATCACTCTAAATTGATCAGACATAGACATAGGAAACTTCTGAGCACATTTCTCCTCTCAATATATTCAGGACAAACACTTTGGGTTTGTCACAGGTCAGATGAGAAGTTCTGAATTGAATCTGGAGGGTCCCCATGACCACAAAACTCCCCACTCAGAAAGCCATTCAAAGATGTATTTTTTTGGGGTGGCTACATTGAGTGCATCACTTTACTAGCTTCAGCAGGTACCAATTTACAGTGCTAATTGTACCAGGTATTAGCATTCCTAAATCTCTGGAACCTCCAAATTCTGGAGAAGAGGCTATTTTCACTATTGGTATCAGCTCCAAACCATGGAGACCAAAAGCCATGTTGTAATCAGCTTGATCATAGATGGATACTGTGATACTGCCATGGAAAAAGTTTGGCATGGAACATCTTTTTATCATATCAGGAGCAGATATGGCAGTAAGAGAGTGCTTAATACCATTATATTCTCATTGACTGGAGGTACTCTTCCTGGTAAAGGCTGAAGTTTGGCAGGAATGACCATGGTTATCCTTAAGGATGGTGTCCTTTCTTACAATTTTAACCAGTGAAGTCTAATCTAAGTACTGGCAGTAGCAGTTAGTCATCCCACAAATAGCATATATTCCGTACTGCCACCCAGATAGCCCACCTCTACCAGTCTCTTGGCATTGGCCCAAAGATAAGTGGATGGCAGTTCTCAGATCCCAGAAGCCACTTGCTAGTGGGTTTGGCTCCATATCACAATGGCTTCTGATGCTTTAAGATCCTCAGTTTACTCATAAACTGAGGTGGATAGCCTCAAAGAATCACTGCAGAAAAAGTCTTGATGATGGAGAAGCTACTTACTGGCAGAGGGGGCTTATGGTTAACTGCTTCTTTTTTGTCCCAGGCTTACTAGTTGTGACAGCTGGAAGAGATAAGGCATGCAAACATTTAGCACTGAACTAAATTAACCACATATAGTTCACATTACCTGAGCATGTTTTATGATCTGTATGAGCTGGGAAAAAATAATAGTATCATCTGCCTGATATATGAGTGTTAACTTCAGGTTTGATGCTTTGCTTTTTTGTATGGATATACAAATGACAATTATTGCACTTTTTCTGATATCAAAAACAAAAATTTGCCCTTAGGTAATGTAAAGAGAATGAAGTATTATTTTCATTATGCTAAAATCTTTCTTTAGTATCATTTGGTAATACCCATCAAGAAAATGAATTAATCCTGATAAATATTTTTGGCAGAAATCACCTTAAAGTTTGCTAAGCTGCTTTGCCAAATGTGAATCCTACAAGCATGCAGGAACCCTTGATGACATCAGAGAAAGGGACTTAGTGATATTCCAGTTGTGTGAGATCCAGAATCAACATAGATATTGTCAAATATGCTTAACTCTTTAGCAAATATGCAAAAGGAGAGGCTAAGGGACTAAGATCAGTGTAGAATGGAATTAATTCAATTTGAGTCACAGAGTTTAGATGATCCAGTTAGCTATTGAAAGAGGGAAAGAGAATGAATGAATGGATCAGTGATTGAAGATGTAATGTTAACTGTAAATTTTATTTTTATTTAGATCGGTTTGGACGGCGACCAGTGATTCTTGTTGCAAGTGTAGTGTTCACTGTTGGAGCAGTGGTAATGGGAGCTGCTCCAGAAAAGGTGACATTACTAATTGGAAGAATAATTGTTGGATTAGGAATAGGTAAGGCAGATCAATGGAATGAAGCAAAGAGAAATACATATACATATGAATATACATATGCATATACTTGTATATATATTTACATGTACATGTGTATGCTTATTCACACACACAAGCATATATACATACACATGCATTGTTTTTGCACTTAATTAACTGTCTTAATATATATGCAGGTATGGCTTCAATGTCAGTGCCAGTATACCTGAGTGAATCATCCCTGCGATCTTCGCGGGCGCATCACTGTAACAAACAATATCTTCATCACTGGGGGTCAGTTGATTGCATCTGTGATCTGCGGTGCTTTTTCAAAAGTTCCACAGGGTTGGAGGTAAGACTGTCCAGATTTCTTTGCATAATCTCCCAGGTTAATAATCCAGTTGCAACTAGTGAAATTGCATATCTTTTTAATCACACTGATAATTTGATTTTATTAAATTGTATATCTTATAATTGACTACAATATTACTATGTGATAGCTCTCTGAATAGTTCTCTGAATTTGCAACCAACCAAGCATTTCATACTTCTGCATGGGATTAACTCTTTTTTTGGTGTGTGTGTGTGTGTGTGTGTGTGTGTGTGTGTGTGTGTGTGTGTGTGTGTGTGTGTGTGTGTGTGTGTGTGTGTGTGTGTGTGTGTGTGTGTGTGTTGTGTGTGTGTGTGTGTGTGTGTGTGTGTGTGTCTGTGTGTGTGTGTGTGTGTGTGTGTGTGTGTGTGTGTGTGTCTGTGTGTGTGTGTGTGTGTGTGTGTATCTTTATTTTTTTTTTGTTTATTGCCTCAGGTTTATCTCAAACATGACATACATTCAGATAAATTCCCTACGTTAATTTATGTGTTAGAAATATATATGGAGTCTAAGAGCCTTATTGTTCCTCTTTAAATGGCTCTGGTGTTCTGGAGAGTGTCTTTATATGGTGATTCTTACAGGTACATGCTTGGTCTAGCGGCATTACCTTCTGTTGTGCAGCTGATGGGCTTTGCGTTTATGCCAGAAAGCCAAGATGGCTGATACTCAAAGGCAGGCAAGTTTGTGATCATAATTCTTTTAATGAGTATGTGAACACTTATTTTGATACAAAACAAATTTGTTTGGATTATTAATTTTACTTTGTAACAATCACAAATAACAGGAGAATAATTCACATAGTTACTTACTATGGTAAAAGTCTGATGCTTCAGAAAAAGTTCATGTATATTGTACAAGACCTCACAATCTTGCACAATGAGGGTGGTGGATCTCAATCACACACAACAGTTGAATGAATATGTGTCCTGTTGATGAATTTTTTGGGTGCGAGACATGTATCACTCTGTTTTAACATATGTTTGTAATTGTGGAGTAATGAAATGAACTCGAACTCTGCAGCTTATATTTACTTCAGTATATAGTATTGCAATCACAGATATACTATATGGACAAGTATATGATATTACAGAATATTGTACAGTTCCATCATCACAGATGATACTTGAGACACTCTTTCACACTTCACAAATCTTGCCTTGAACTCAGCTGTCTACAAGGAGGGTAGACCTAAGCTCACCTAGACAGAGTGATGGTTGTTCGGTTGTATGGATGTTGAAGTGACAGTTTCAAAAGGCAACTTGGTATTTTGCTCCTTCTTTCAAATTAAAGTAACCATCAAGATTATCCAAAATAGCTTTCCCTAATATAAACCACAACTTCTACATCCACAGCCTCACTACCAGAGAACATTGTTTTGTTGTTTCATTCCCTTAGATTTTTTCTATCATAATAAGTAATTGAAGGCTGCATTTTATCTGTTCTGTTTGAGTCTGGTGGTCTTGCCACAGTGGCAAAAATACATGCCCTGTCCACTGTTATTGTAGTTTATTATTTGTATTTACAGAGAGATGATTGACCAAGGAGTCAGTCATTAGTCCTACCTATTTCACCTGTTTAATCCCCCCCCCCCCTCTCTCTCTCTCTCTCATCTCTGGTCT